ATAAGGAGCTAATGGTAGGAGAAAACGGACTATCCAATTATGGATTTTTTTGCAAAATCTCATTCGAATTCCAACCCGAATACTTGTGGCTTGGGGTAATATAGCATTACAACCTTCTGGACATTTTGACAAGAATATTTTTATTCATTTAAGCTTGTTTGTATTCTTTTATTTTCATGCACACGATTCCAATTGCAAACAAAAAGTTCTTCTAATAGGGAAATTTTTAGTTTACGTAAATTTTTTGATAATTCATTGATAAAAAGAACATGAGAAAAATAATACATGCAAAGTTGAACATAATTCTGTCTCCTTAAGGACCCATTTATTTTTTAAAAGAAGCTATTCGATTGGAATTTAGCTGCATATAAAAAAATTTACAACTATACACTCCATTCAATCAAACTGATATAGATCCAATCGGCTAAACATTCTTAATAATTAATTTAATCAAAGCATTTAGAAGAAGTGATTACATCACTTACTACGCACGATATGTATAATATAAGCCATCATGATTTAAAACAAATTGTTTTTCTTCCAATACCTGATGTGAAAATCATCACAACAAAATTGTTCTTTATGAGTATTGCTTGGTACATCCGCGCTAGAAGACTTGGTCCATGTAAAAAGCAATACTAATTAAGCTTCTGTGTTGTTTGCAAAGGAAACATGTTCGAAGAAAATAATTCACAGACTTCTTAGGGTGAAGAGAGAATAGCTTGAGTAAATAGTCTGTTACGTCATCGAACACAACTGTATACATCTACACATATATATATATACATATATACATTTAAATACATTATACTGTAAACAGATGAATATAGTATATATATAAAATAAGACCTGTATTTACTTTTACTATAAATGCCTTTAAAAGACAACGCCTATTTTTTGAATTATTGATTGATGATCTTAGAATACTAAACTGCCAATAAAATAATTTGACAAATCTAATACAGATTGACTAAGCACATCTTAATACAAAAATATGTTGTCCTAAAAGAACAATTATGACAATTCGTGTTTAATATACCCTTTGAATCAAATTGCATAACATACGCCGATTTTATTACAGTTAAACTTGGTACATCTCAAGTATCAACACATAACGCCTCTGCAGTCAACTTCGAGGGTTTGGTACAAGGAGGCTCGAAAAAACTCCCAGTCAAAACACATGGAATACAATTAGCAAAAAATTAATTATAAATGATACCTCGAATTTTCGACCTTCACTAATCTTGTATCCATCCTATTCACAGGAGAACAAGTTGAATAGATAAATTGGAGAAAGACGAAGATTCTAAAAGAAAATTAAGGCAAGCACAATACCACCGAATCTTTCAAGAGTAGAAACAACCAACTCAATAGATATTTGGTCAGAGTCTGGCTACTATACAGGACAAAAAGGCTATACTGTCGTGTAATCCTCCAATATCAATATCAGTGATGAACCCGTCTAAGAGCTGAGAGAAAGCCATGGGATGATTTATCCTTGTGATCATTATTACTCTGGTAGAAAAATAAAACCGTATTACTCAGCAGGTCCAACTCTACATTGGTTTTTAAACTTAAGAATTAATTTTACCTCTTTTGCTATGTGCTGAAGAATTTCTATTATTTCAGAGAAATCTGGTCTGAGAGTCGGATCTTGTTGCCAGCAGCGCTGAAGCAGTTTCAGAAAGTCTTGGGTGTGTTTTTTGGAATGTAAGGCCTAGGACCCTAACAGCAATTTAAGCACTAGAATCATTTGCATAAACAAGAAATTGTTTCCGTGAAATTATTTACAAAAGAAAAATAATAAAAACCTTCTGCCCACGCCGACTGCTGCTTGTAATGGGGTCAAGCAAGAATACGGTACTGGTTACAAAAATAGTTAATCCAATGAGATAAGAGTGGAAGAACTGATTATTTGAGAAAAAAAGAGAACAGATCACAATGCAAAACCCACTGTCTGGCATGAAAGTACTCACTTCCCGGTTTAAAAGCTCCACAGAGAGCTATTCCAAACTGAAAACATCTGCCTTTCTGGTCATATGGTTTTTGTGTTCAAGACCTTCAAATAAAAGTCAAAATCAACGAAAGAGATCTATGGTATCACCATTAACAGTCTTGAATTCTAAAAAAAAAAAAAAATCAGCAAACCGTAGCACATGCCCTAAATCGTAAATGCCTTATGTCCAGGAATTAAGGCCTCACCGTATTAGGCATGTTATATGAAGATGAAAATAAGAATGGAACTGAGGAATAAATATCAAACCACTGCATACTTTGTAAGGAAATAGCCAAGAAAGAATAAAAACGAGGCAACCATTTCATGTATTTTTCTAATCTTCGTTTTGAAATTTCAGAGTTAAAAGATAAAATTGAAATAAAATCCTAAGTTCAATACTAAAATACAATAAATTCAATATCTATATGACAAAATATTCACATCAACAACATATAAATTCAATATTAATATCACAAATGTGAGATAAATCCAAACGAATATATTTTTAGTAGTTTAAAATTCTCCTTCACTATGGGCAAAGACATTTCAATCATAACCAAGAACAATAACCCAAGTCGGTCGACTTTGCCAGAACCCGGAACTAAATTCCACCTAGGATGTTTTTCTTACACTAATGCTCACCTTGCCCTCACCACACACCCAAAATAAAAATAATAAAATAACACCATTTTCTTCCCTGTCCACCACCATATTTCTCACTTTTCAAGCAGGAAAAACATAAATGCCTACCACAGGATCGAAACAGGAAGTACCATGATCCAAGAAAATTTATACCTCAGGAGCCATCCAACGGTATGTTCCAGTTTCAGCTGTCATCACACCAGACTGAGTTTGCACTCTAGCAACCCCAAAATCAGCAACCTTTACCACCTGTTGAAGAACAACTGCTATTTTAGTGATGTTTCCATCTCAGGTCTGTGTTCGCAGCTCATATTTTACTGTATTCTAACAAGAACCCAGCATCACACAGTTACCCATCTTAAACTTATTTCTACAAATAATAGACTATGGTGATTATTGTGAGTCAAGATAACAAACAATTTTCATTCATTGAAAAATATAGGACCAAACACTAGTATGAATAAGAAAAGGGACAGATACACACAAGGCTAGTAGCCTTTTAAATTCAAGCATTTGGCTCCTAAAAGCGATGAATTAAAGTGCAGTTATATCTGTTGATTTGGAAAACATTGATTGAGATATGTGCATGTATTTTATCACAATTTCAACCATTGATTTTTTAATCAATGACTATAGCTGTTCTTTATTCAGTAAAGTGTATTCCAATGGTAAACAAATCTCTTTTTGTTTTTTCGACAACATAAAAGTACTGAAATTATATTACAAAACCAAAATATTATGCAGAGAACATAGATACATGGACCATAATAACACTGAAAATGCAACAGACAGTATCAATGCGTGCATTCAATATTCATGGAATCCTCTTACTTCATTTTCATCCATCAGAAGATTGGCAGTCTTGAGGTCCCTGTGAATTATATTATTTTGGTGCAAATAGTTCATTCCCTTGGAAACATCAATTGCTACTTTTAGCAAAGATGGAAGCTTAAATACACCTCTTTGTTTGTGCAGAAAGTCATATAAGCTTCCCCTAGACATAAACTCTGATAAAGTCATAAACATGAGCACATAAGCATTAAAATTGCATTACCAGCAGACTGAAAAAGGCACCCAAACCATCTCAGAATTCCTAGATAAAACATATACAGGTAAGCACAAATATTATACCAATTCTAGAACTAGTATAAATTAAAAAAATAAAGCAGCAATATGAATATGAAAGGAAGGGATGTGCACAAGGCTTCCAGCATCAAGGGGTGTGGGGAGGATCAAAATGTATGCAGCCTCTGCCATAAGCAGAGAATTTGTTTCCACAACTAAAATTGATGATCACCACAAAGCAGTAATATTATCATTAAACCCAAGCACACCCTCTAAACAAACAAAATTCTTCAAACAGAATCATGCAACATCATAAATTCTCAGGATTCTTTCCTATTTACCCGTAACAATACAAAGATTTGGGGGCCTGGTACATGCGCCGATGAACTGAACAACATTCTTATGTCGAATCTTCCTACAACCCAAGATAAATCATAGTTAGTAAATGAAAAATGATTACTCAAGACTACAAAGATACCACACACCAATTACTAATACTCACTAACTAGTATAAAAAGACAGATTCACAAACTAGTGAAGTTGTCAGGATTGAAATATTATTAGATATTTTCAGAAGCATTTGATGTAGTGAAAATCTGAAATTGAGATATTAGTTTTTAGTTAATATATTCCTTTCCAGAATGGTCTAAGTCAGACAAATAAGGAAGTTAATGCCATAACTGTAATTCAGTCAAAGTTCATGAACCTTTGATACATGCATTTTAACAGTCTATCTATGATGCCAATTTCATGGAATTGAAATCATGTAACAGAAATGTTAGAACTTTAAGAAACAAAATAAATTACAACATGCTTCACTTTAATTGAGCAGCACTATTGGTAGCACAACTTTACATGTGTGTGCATGTGAATCAAGCTACCAGGGGTTGCTGGTTTTGAAACTGAAATAAAAATAAGACAATGAAGATCTAGCCATCAGTATAATGTCAGACCAGTTCATATTTTAAGGGAATAGTATGAAAGGCATGATCCTAAATAGAAAATAAGAAACTAATAGCACAATATATCAAAGAACATTGATTCCTCCATCCCTTCCATTCCTCTGTTGTAGTTATAGGTTGTGCAAGCCAGATTAACATGTAATTCAATACAAAATGAATAATTATAAACAAGAAAGTGAAAGCTACAGCACAAGGCAGGAAAGCATGAGAAATAAATATCTCAGTAATTGTAAATATAAGGTCCATAACTACATTCAATCATCCAAACAAACCTCATGATATAAACTTCTTGTGCAAACTCCTTCAGCATATCTGTACTTATACGCTCAGGCTTCAGAACTTTGATAGCAACATCTTGACTGCAATATGTACCTCTGTACCTAAGGAATATCAAAGAAATGCAGAGATAGACCTCAGCTACAAGGATTAGAAGAGTTCAAATATAATCTAGCAAAAATAACTTACAAGTCACCAAATGACCCAGAGCCAACTTTGTTTTCATATTTCAGCTGGTTGGTATCAAGTTCCCAGACATCAGCTCCGTCAGTTGGTATTTGAATGCAATGAGGGGATTGCTCTATCCTTGTCTGGTAATGATCATTGGCAGCACAATGTATGCCCTGATTTGACATATTCTGCTCCTGCAAAGGAAATAAGAAAGTTTATATCATTTAGTATTTAACAAAAGGAGAAATGAATTACAGTTGTCTATATGAAGTGCACGGATGTAAAGAACAGTTTATTTTAACAGACGTTGTCATTACTCAAATGTAGTTCAACTTCAAATTAATATCAATCCTTTCTAATAAAATCCAAACAACAATAATCTCATCTTCCCTGCTTAATCTTGAAAACGACATTTTATAAAAAGTTCATAGCAACTATAAAAAATTAAGATATTTCCAAAAATATATAGCACTCAGTATTTTGAAATTGTCATGAGTTCTCAATCCCAAATGTTAAGGTGTTAAGTGAAGACTCGTGAAGGGTTGTTATATTACATCTCTAACAGAAAAAGTTAAAAAAGGAGAATATACCTTAACCTTGTAAATTTCCTTTTCTAACACACCTTTCAGCTCCTCAGTTTCCTAATGGCCAAAACATATATACAATAGATACAATAAGTTTGGATATAGAAAACACAATTGAAAAAGCAAATAAAATTAAATATTAGATAACAGTAGAGAAATCATAAACACGTAAAGAGTAAAACAATCAATGTATAGAAAGGAAAAAGATACAAAATCCTGATAAATTACATGACGGCTCAGCTCTCTTGCAAGGAGCCATTACATTAGTAAACAAAAAGTGGAAAAGAGAAAAGCTTGCAGATAAAAAGACATCTCAACAAAATTTTATTCGTCAATTTGGATGTACACAAAAGGAGTCCCCAAACCTTCCTCTAAAATTTTATTGCTATAAAAATTCCATTATGTTGTGGAAGTCAACTGCATGATCATTAAGGAAGCTTGTGCTGAATGTGCCTATATTAGTTTTGAAATAAATTCAATTAGAACTTGAAACAGGAAGTCTCAAATTTTGTACAAAAAACACAGCTACTAAGACTTTTTAACCAGCCAATGCATTGTGAATACATGGACGACATTAACAGAAGAAAGATCTTATAAATAGTTATCTATGATTATAAAAATTGCAGGGTGAGTCTTTCAGAAGAGTTAAAACAATAAACTGTATTTTATACAGCATGCCTAGGTATATATTTGTACTGATACTCTAGGCCACACGTATACATCATTTTGACATAGCACCTCTACTAGGTATGTACCTGTTAGCAAGTGAAACTCAGTGAATGTTTGAGGTATAATTATCTTTTTCTATGTTGATTTTATCAAGAACAATTGAAACAGAGATTTAAAATGGGCCAAAATGATCCAGACGATCCAAAAAATAATGGCAGCAATAATATTACTTATAATTGAACCATGCTCCATTTTTATCAGGGGGCCATCGATGTAATAAAATCCTCCTTCCCTGTTCTAATTAACAGGTGCCTTGTAATTTGGCTCCAACACCAACAGCAACAATAATGCTTTGGCTATTATTGGGAGGGACATCAGGTAGCAGCACCCCTCTCGTGATCAGCCCTCTTTCTCCCTCTCTTCATGTTTCTCTTTTTAATAGAGGAAGAGAAAATTTCTTCATTAGCTATGATTTAAAATTATTCTGCATCCTCCAAAATTGTTTAAATTGGAAAGTTTTAAATTTTGTTGGCTGAAGATATCGTTTGCACCAATTGTTTGTTAATAAAGAAAAAAATAAATCAGGGATACAATAACATACCCCACAATGTTCTAAATTTGTCAAAAAAACCACCATATTTATTATCAATTTATATCTGTAAAACAAGTTTGCTAGAAATGCCACAGAGACAACAGAAGTAATCACTCGTTATCTACTGAAATGAAAAGGTAAACATAACACGAGGAGATGAAAAGTTAAAGGTATTATATATCCTTTTACAAAATCAAAATTGCAAATACTCATGGCAAGATGCTGATCAAGACATGCATAAAGTCTTTCTATTTCCCAAAATACTTGCTAGTTTTATGGGATCATTATTTGGCTACTTTCATCCTACCTCATTGGGCCATCCCTCAACAACAAAGACATCCAGAGAAAATCCATCAGTGGTGGAAAATGCATGAGCTTCTTGAATATTCAGTCCCATCTCACCAAGTATTGATGTTAACTGAAACGCAAAGTAAAGGTTGACAGACAGCCATGATACAAAATACATTTGTTATATTCTATCTCACAAATGAAGAACTTAATTTTCATCCACTCTTCGTGTGAAAAAAAATACATTAACATCCAATAACCTTGTTAAATCGTGCAATGAATTTGACACCTCATGCAAGCGTTAACATTGTCAAATTCATCTATGATGTGATAAATCATCATTAGATGTCAATGAAAAACTTTTTACATTGATGAGGCATCAAAATTAAACTTGCTTAAGAACTCCAAAGATTTGTATCCTAGTGCAAGGATATCAGTTTGAGTTGGCCACAGAATTTGCAAAATCAAGTACTCCTCACACCTTTCCAAGGTCCACTTTAAACCTACTAAATCTAGTTATCCGGATAATAAAGTTTTGAGCACAAATGAAAGTTTCCCTTTTTGAAGTATAAAAGAGAAGTTATGACAGGCCAAAGTAATCACCAACACCACTCCCCCAAAAAAAAGCAGTTAAAGTAAAACACTCCTCTCTATGAATTTTATATTACACAATAAATTATATATTTACAGGTGTGCATTCATATTAGAGTTTAAAAAGTTACCATAACAGAAAATGTTAAGAGATGATAATTGAAAAGATTATGATATGCGTTTGTGAATGATTTTCTTAGTTTTTTACCGTTGTACCTTCACAAATTCTCAATCTAATTGAGTGAGAAAAGAATACTTGGGCCACAAAATTAAAACTTGTAGTACTTTACAATGAAAAACTCTCTAACCATAAAATTTTAGTTGACAAGCATTGGCAGATAATTTGCCCAAATCAATAGAAAAGACACTCAGTATATATCTAACCCAAAGAAAGCCTCCCACGTAGAAGTAATTTATACAATATAGTTCACGCCCATATCTGAACGCCACACTTGCGGCTCCTAGAAAGACGGTGGCTGCCACTCAGTAGCCACTGTCCCCACCTAGTGCTCTGCTATCATGTAAAAGCTGAATAATACGGTAGAAAAGAAAACATAACAAGGATTGTATGAAATAAAATAACAATGTAATTTTAAAGAACCGTTTACAAAGCATAAAAACACTTTTAAAATAAAGTCAGAATTAACCACCTGACTAAGGAGTTTAGGCTTGTCAACTGTTGAAAAGGTAATCTCGTGCATGGGCCTAAAATTTAGTAAGTAAAAGATTAGTTCTAGTTAAACTTTAAAACATTAGTACATTTATTAACTGCTATAAGCTAATGGAAACAACATGCTATCCCTAGAGAAACTCAATATGGAGAGTGTGTAATTCGATAGGTTGGCTCTTGACACCCTTGGCAATACCCTAAACTCAAAACAAACCTGATTGACTGATTCTACAATTATTTTTTCTCTGTACATTCATGACGTCAGGTGTATCACGTATTCATGAAAAGATGAAAATGCAGATACAAAAGTATAAAGTTTATTCTGCAACATCTCCCTCTGTCTAAAAAGTTGGTGAAAAAATAATTAAACAAGAGACTTGACACTTCGAAAATATTTTATTTCAAAAGTGTGAGATTTTACCTTAGTTTTATATCAAACTTATCAGAGTAATTTTACAGTTTCTACTTTTATCAACAATAAGACACATTTTAGCGATACTAAAACCAAAGCAAAAGTGAGAATCCATTACCTGTGAAAATATGGTGTTACAATTCATAGCAACTTTCCCCCTCTTCAATGTTATTTTGGTTGTTTGAAAGTTGCAAGGAGGCTTCTAGATTAGAGTGATGAACCAATGTGGGGTGGTGGATGAATTGGCATTTTGTTGTTGCCCAAAGAGAGAGACCAAACAGAAAATGACATTAAAAAAAAATAATTGGCACAAAAACGAAAAACATAAAAACAAGTGCATAGATAATAAAAGAAGGACTTGCACTTATGAGCAACGCAAGGATGGAAATAAAAACCACAAAATTACACAAGCCGTACCCCTGCTTTAAAGAATAGTTAAGAGAACTCTGAGCATCCTCTATTTCAGAAGGATCTGAATGTATGGAATCAGAATAATTTGCACCACCAAAAGGATATACCTGCATTAAGGACGAAGCTTTTATAAATTAATTTGAATGTAGGACGTCTCTGTACTTGGATTCAGAGCTCATAAAGTAAATGATATAACATAGTTCCAAATTTGCTACCAGCTGACAATGCAGTCAAGGAAAAAACAATTCCATGATGTATCCTCCACAACGTTTAAAAAACTGAATTCTCCATTTGATGGGAAAACATATAGCCTTGAGTCAAAACTAGTGAAAATACATAATAAAGAACTTCAATAACCTTAATGAAATGTGTTTTAATTACCTGTACTAACCGAACTTGAAATGCAGGTCGAGATGCGGGATCCTCCGCCAACTTGAGCAATCTTTTATGAGCCAGAACATCTTCTGCCCTCTCAACATTTACATCCAACGCGTACCTATGTAGTAGCAATCAGAGTGACAACAGGAGACTCGGACAAAAACCACTCTGGCAAATCACTTACAAAAGTAAAGTAAAAAAAAGGCAAAAAAAAAAAAAAAACACTCAGCTATCTTCTTCCTTCTTCATTTGTTTTTCTCAAATCTCATCAGAATTCAAAATAACACGAAAAAACACTTGAATTGCAGGAATCACTTAAAAAAAACACAAATAATCAGGAATATACAAAATCACTGGTCACAAATTCCCCTACCAATCATTTTCACCGCTTTACAAAAGAAAAAAAAACAATAATCAAATATTAAAGGGAGAACGTGAGAACAGAAGTCAGTTAGCTAGTTAGTTTAATTGATAAGGGAAACGGCGTGAGAGACCTAGCAGGAAGGCGATTGAAGTGAAGCCAAAGCTGATCATCGAAGCCGGGAACGTGCGCCTCCTCGCAATCGGAATCCTGAATCCGCCGCAACACCTCATTGTACACCTCCAGTTTCTGGCGGTGGTGTCGAGGGTGGTTAGCGTGCGACAACTGCACCGCTCTGCTCCCGCAGCTCTCAATGTCATGCTCGATCACCATGAACGATCAACACCACACACAAACACTAAACAAAAGAAGAAGAAGAAGAAGAAGAAGAGAAACCGAGAAAGAGAGAGAGAAAACGGATCGTGAAACGGAAGAAGAAGCAGCGAAGGAAAAGGCGAGAAAGGGAAGCGAAGGGGAAAGACGATGGAGATTCAGTTGACGGAAAACTCTTTTATTTTAATTTGTTGCTTGTTTGGTTGGGTTCTCTTTCCAGGTACTAATGAGTGTTTTTGCTTCGGCGCTGAGTGTTTGTTCCCAGCTATCCACGTCAGAGTGGGCCCCGCATTCCGCCCAAAGTGGGCACACACAGCAAATTGAAACTTTGCTCATTGGATAATTAAATATTTCTTTTCCGCATCTCCTCTCCGAATAAATCAAGATGCTTCTTTTCTCTTTTATTGTGGACTAAATAAAATAAAACAATAACAATAATATAACATCAAATTTAGAAAATGGGTAAAAAATAAGTAAATAAAAAAAATAATTGGGCCCAACAGGGACTCCGTTTGTGGTTTATTCGGAATTATGGGCTTTTTTGAATCCTCAATCCTTATCCTCTCGGATTAAAAAATTCTGGGCCTACCAAAACCATAGAAGTTTCTTTTTTTATTGCACTACTGCTAGACTTAGGGTCGTTGAGACAGCACGATCTGTAATGGGAAGAATAAAAGCAAACAAAGATAAATAGCAAGAGTTTAGGAATCTGATGTAACGTACCTTTCTCGGAGGGATTTTTCTTTTAATCTACGTGTTTTTTTTATATAAATAATTTTCTTTGAAAAATATAAATCAGAAAATTTATTTAAAATAATCAAATATATACCAAAGAAGTTACTATATTCCTGAAAAATAAAATCGGAAAAGGATGTTTTCTTTTGGAAACGAAATTGAAAAGGTTACAATTAGCAAAGTGTTTATAGGTAAATAATAATTTAAAACCGAGTTTTAGTTGATGCTAAGAGTTTAGCATTCGAAAAAAGTTAAAAATTAAATGATTGAAGATAATGTTTTACCTTATAGTGTTATTCCAACCACCACAACTTTTTGTAGGGTTATTAGATGTAAAATATTTTCTATTTTAGACCTTAAACTAATTAACCTTTTATTATAACTTTACAGTGAGATTAAACTTCATAGCACACTAACAACAGCGTGTCTGCAAAATGCTCCTGAAGAATAAAATATATCTCTAAAAAGACATTGTCAAATCAGGTTAATTCACCTGCCTAAGAATAAACTGCTGATAAAAAAAATATAAGAATAATTTTCGAAGTTTGAAATGAACATACTTACCATTATTCCTGATCGCAAAACACTTACAAACAAAACTTTGTCTCGAAGGAAAGTCCACTTCCAATGAATTACTTTTTCACTGTTTCTTTTACTTTCTAGTAAATTTCTAAAATATACAAATAATCTTTGGAGCCATGCTCAATCAGTTCAAATATGAGTAAAGTAAATTATTTTAATTATACTTTCTAAATAATGTATATGTAGAAACACTGATATTTGAAAACCAAAAACTCATCATACTTAGATTATTAGTTCTAAAAAAAACGTGAAAAGATTAGATTTATTGAAAGTCTTATCTCTAACACTAAAATAAAATTAATTTATAATATATAGATACAAAACTCGTTTTAAAGATCAATTGATTGAATTAGATTTAAAATTTGTTTGTTAATAAAATTAAACCTATAGACGAATATGATATAATTTAATTTGAAATATACAGTTTTATTTTTTTTATTGAGTAAGTATTGATAATTGTATTTACTTGAAAATGAGAAAACAAGAGGAGGTTTGAAGATTTGTTAGTTATGATGATTGTTGGCATCAGCAGGTTTGGTGGGTAGGAATATCAAGAAGAATTTGTTGGTGAGAATTTGAATCTATATATAGAGGGAGAAAGGGGTAGGTTTGACATGGTCAGAAATGACCTACCACTGCTAGGAGCCAAATTCAGATTTAGAAATGGGGGAAAACACTGAGAATAAAAGTCAGCTCTGCGTCCATGCATGCATGCTGATCGAATTACAGGGTTGACAACAATAGGTTTTAAGATAATGATACTTTGATAATATTTTTTTAACAACATTTTAGCATTATTTATGTGTCATTCTGTGATTGGTTCTGTTTATGATTATTATTATTATTGATTGTGGAGTAATTTTGGACCAATCACATAATGATACGTAGATGATGTTAAAATGTTATAAAAAAATATTGTTTATCCTAAAAATAATAATGCTTGTATAAAAACATGATGTGTATAAACGTGACGAATAACAAAAATATATTTAAAATGAAACTTTGGTGAAGTTGAATGGGAAATTGGATTTTAGTAAACAACACACCCCAAAATAGTTATTGATGAAATGTAGGAATTTTATTCACAATTCCATAACAAAATTAGAAAGGGCGTGTATTCTATCTTCTCAATTATACAGAATTATCTTCATATAAATCTACAAAATCAACGGAAGGGCATTTTATAACAAAACTATAAATGGCTCATATTTAGAAAACACAAACTTATATTAATATTTCTAAATGAAAACCTTATTAAAAGATGCTGTGAAATAAATAGAGGAAAAATGCTTCAGTTTTTTTTAATGAAAGGGCCAACTATTTTCTAATTCTTTTATCTCTCTTTTATTTTCCATCTTCTACTATAATCTTAAGGCCTGTTTAATTCCGAAACAATAAAGTATAACGTTTTATCCATCTTGGTAATACAAAATTTGATGCATATATTATAAAGCGATATTATTTTGTTTAATGATACTGAATAAAAGTATTTTCAGGTCAATTTAATACTTCTGGTTCGTTTGGGTGGCATCAGAATGTAAGAGAGAGAGAGAGAGAAATGAAAGAAAAAAATTATGATGATACGAGATTATTCCTAAAAATTTTAAAGAATAAAATAATTTTATTTATTATTAGTTTTAATTATTTATTATTGGTATTATAAGAAAAAAAAAATTCGTTACGAACTATGACTAATAGTCATCCATAATCAATAATAATAATAATAATTTAAAGAGACAAGTTAAAATGAATTTCCTCCCAAATCTTATCTTCTGGAAGAGATGGACTCCAAGTTGCATTTGTGCACTTCATACGAATAAAAAGAAATCAACGCAAATATTTTTTCTTCCATCTTTTCATTAGTCTTTCTTTGAATTAAAAAGTTAAAAATAAAATTATTTAAATTAGGAAAAAAATGAAAATGAATAAATAATTTGGTTAATAGGAGAAAATAAAATTATATACTAATTTGAACAATATCATCGAAATATTTATTATTTATTATTTATTATTTATGTGTTTTAATTAAGACATTTTATATAAATCCACGCGTGTTCTTTGAATAGAAATATGTTATTTCAGTCCTCTTCCTCTAAGAGTGCTACTTCAGTAAAGTTTTAGGTAGTGAAGAAAAAATTGGAATCAGCTGTTGCCTAAATAATGAATCAAACATTTTAACTTTTTTCATGTGCGTGTGAGCCTCTAAATAAAGTTATACCAGTCCTTTTTCCTTCCTTATCCTTTCAAATTTATTTTTCCTTTTCAAACAATTTTTTATTTCTCTTAAAAACATATATGAAATCCTTTTCGTGTTACAAGAATCTATTTATCTTTTTATAACGAGCCCTAAAAGAGGAGGTAGAATGTTTTTTATTTCATAGTTTCATATTTTTATTAAAAGTGCATAAGATTTCAACGTCTTATGTTCAATGTCAGGAAAGGAAAATGTCAACGTTAAAAATGACTGAGTAAAACTTTTATAAATAAAAGTTTAAGGAATTTAGATTTTTTTTCGACGAATTAGTTATTAGACATTACAAATTGAGAATTTCAACGTCATATTGGATAAATTTTGCGAAATTATTTTGCGCGATGGTAAAATTGTATTAATGTATGACGTCGAATGTCGTAGTTTCAAATGACAAAAGACTATAAGAATTCAAAATATCACTTTTTAGACGTTATATATTAGTGAATTCATTAAAAATTTGGGTAGGAGGTTGAAAATTCATTTACTTTATCTTTGCGCGAAACCTCTTCTCTGCTCAAACAACGAAGTTTTCGACGACCAACACATATAATCTTTATTTCGTTTTATATAAATGCACGTTTATTAACTACTTTATGTATAATTTTCGTTCTTGTTGATATTGTTGAACTTATTTGTTGTTTTGTTGATATTGATATTGTTGAACTTATTTGTTGTTCATACACATTATACATCCAAACTTACGGTAAAACTGAGAGTATGAATGAGGATTACTTACATAATTTATCATTTAATTATTATTGTTATATTGTAAATTTATGGGTATTGTTGAGGTCATTCGAAAAATAAGAGATAAAATTAGTAAACCAATGATAATTAATAATAACATGGGTATTAATAAATGTATATGGTAGATTGACGTAATTTTATGACTCTGGTGGAGAGATTCTATGGTAGTGCCTTGTAGTGTAGGTGTTGATGTAGGAAGCGTAGTCTTCGAGGTTATCGCTCCAATAATTGTTCCATCGAGTAGAGAAGAGGATTATGCAGTGAGAAGTAGCAAAAGGTCCTATTATAGGTATTCCATCTTGGCCTAAGGCATTTTTTAAATGATTAACCTTGTGTGCGTGGGTGAAACTCAATAACAATGACGACTCTGCAGAACAATAGAAGTCTCTACAAGTGCATGACTCGTCATAGCTCGACATCAATACCTATATCTAGATTTGTCAAAGTCTAGTATATTATATATCCTTAGGTTGTTGTTTGATTTTAAAGTGAAATGTGTTAAATGTTGAATTATAATTACATACTTAATTTGTTTATAATATTAGTTTATCATTATTGTTTGTGTGTTTGTTTTTTACAATAATCACTTTAATAGCTTGAGCTTAAGAGGATGCACATGTATTAGGAAATGATAGAGCTAAGATGTAAAATAAAAAATTTAATTTCAGAAATATATTTTTATAGTAATATACAAATATTTACATATTAATTCAGATACGAACAGTTTAATTATGATATTCTTCACACGTTTAAATAACATATATATATATTTATTACATACTAACATTAAGTTGGATTAGTCAAAACTAATATGTTCTGTCAATATATAAAATACAAATAACAATCATGTTCATTTTCATTGGTTTCCTATTATTCATCAAAGGCTTATCAGTAATTTGCTTTATATATTTAGATTTTTATTTGTTTTGGTCTTTTCATATTTTTTAATTCAATTGGTTTTTTTTATATTTTAAAAAACAACTAAATTAAGTATTATTTTTGTAATATTCAATTGAATCTTATTGTTCTAAATTCAACATAACTTTTTCCATATTAAATTGACGTTAATATTATTTAATGTAAATTTGTCACGTGTCAAAATTTTAATCAAAGATGTTATTTATCAAAATTAGAAAAAATTTAAAATAAAAAACAATTCATTTTAGCATATAGCAAATCTATAGTTTTGACAGATAACTGTTTTAAACAATTTAACAAGAGATTATATTAATATTATTTTAAAAAAATCAGAAATCATATGAGTAAAAAATAAATATATAAATAAAATAATAATGAATATTTAAATATAGAATGTAAATTATTAATTAAACCTCCAGTAAAAACTCCCACCTCACACTTCATTGACTTGTCCAAAGTATAAGTCTTCCTCCGTGTTGGTATCATCATACTTTCACAAACCTGTACTCTCTACTCAAGCGTTTCATAATCTGACACCTACTCTATTTTTTATAATTTTTTTAATAACATTTTAACATCATCTACATATTATGTGATCGATCCAAAATTACTTCACAATCAATAATAATAATTATAAACATCAACATAGACCAATCATAAAATAAAACGTAGATGATATTAAAATATTATAAAAAAGATGTTGTTAAAATATCATTATCCTAAATTTGTTAGAGACTTTTCTTTTACGGTTGAAATTCCATTCTAAAGATTCACTAATGCGGATATATATATATATATGAAATTATTATACAAATAAGCTACAGTTATAAACGAATATAACTTATATATGCTATTATACTTTTAAAATTATTGATAAAGAACAAACTAATTCTCCCCTATCTTAAGAAACCTTACAATAATATACTAATTTTGAAAGTAACAAAAATATAAGAAATTATTAGAACGACTTTTATGATCGAGATACAATATTTTTCAAAATATAAAAATACATCAAAAAATATCTATTTAGGACACAGAAAAGGAAATGACACTAGAAACTAAACAACTTCTGCATCATTTTTCAACCAAAAGGCAGACGTTTGCTATAAACATATAATTAAAATTTTATATTTAATGAACATTCAATTTTTATTATGCAATATCTGGAAACAAATTTAAACTTATATCACTATTCATTTCAATGACCAAAACATTATAGATTTATAGTGCTTAGAGTTTTGCTTAAACTTCATTTAAATTTTTCCTTCGTTAAAATATATATGGCCAAATGTAAGGTATAAAATTAATTTGTCATCCCTATTAACAGCTCCATTATAATTGTAATGATAACATAATAATAATAATAATAATAATTTTAATTAGACTATAATAAAAATATGTATATATTGTGGAATTATAAAAATAAAAAGTGAAAACATTCCACATACAAAATTCTGTTATAGTATTAAGGATACAGCATGCAAAAATTGGCCTATTTATCTGGAGGGAGACAGACATGTGCTTACAAAGAGTCATAAAACTATTATAATTGGCAACTTCATTGAAAATGGTCATTGCTTATTGCGTAGGTCTTAGGGTTTACACTAATCAATTCAACACTAATCAATTCAACGCTTTTCAAAAGTGGAAGACCCGCCAGGTTTCCGGAATACTAAAAAATACGGAAAAGCAAAAGGAATACTAAGAAAAATGGAAAAGTAAAGGAAACCACGCATACCACTCATTATTACCTTCATTTTAATTTTTAAATGTTTACTATTTTTAAAAACAATTAATTCAATATTTAACACAACTTTGTTAACAACCTGAACATTTTATTGCATTTAAATTCAGCAAAATGTTATATAAAATATTTCTTTATGATTTTTAAATATTTTAATTGGTATGTGAAAGACGAGTTTAAATATCTTTTAGTTTTTAATCTTTGACAAAAAAAAAATTAAAATTTATCGTTATCAAATTTTCATACATTTTAATCTTTAAATTTTAAAAGTAAATATATTCTTCATAATTAAACTATCATTTTTTATGCCAAATGTATTTAAAGATAATGTTTAAGTAGTTTAGTTTATAATGTTCTTACCATTTTTACTTTAAATATTAATCTAAAACATCATTAAATAAGATCAACAAAATCAATGTTATTAAGTTAAAATCTTTATAATCATTCAATCTTAAAATTTGAAAATTAAGATATATTAAAGTTTAAAACAAAAACAAATTATAATTTCGTATTAAAGATACAAACCAAAATTATATTTAATTCTTATCATTTATGTTGTTTAAAATTTAAATATCTACTTAAAAAATTACGTGCTTTGTATATAACTAATTTTATCAAAATTTAAAAGGAAATTGTATCACAGTGTCAGAAAAGGCATATAACAATTCTATAACAATAAAAGTGATGCACTTCATTAGCATACCATAGCTAATCAATATTGTGATTGGAGAAACACCTTTTTTTCTTTCTATATAATGCTACTTTATCCCAAACTATCTCTAGTTAGTTTCTACTTCCGCATATAAGTGTATGGTAGGTTTTATTTTTAGTTGATTTGAAATTTCTATTAAATATTTTAAAAATATTTTTCATGTTTATCACATACACATTCCAATTTTAATATATTTTAATTTCTAACATCTAAATTATTAAAAATTAAAAGAAAATAAAAGTAATGTTTATAAGATTAAAATAATATATTTTACTTATAATCTGTTGAAGTATAAAAACAAAAAATGAAAACATTTGTATTAGAAAGTGGGTTTAAACCTAATTCAACCCCACAAAATCGACTTTTAAGGTGAGGTTTGCACCTCACTTATATATTATAATTTAGTCTTATCTTTAATCGATGTGTGACTTCCAACACACCTCCTTCATGTCGAAGTATAAACATCTTGTGCGTGATAGTAGAAATTGGGTGGTCCGATAGCGGGTGGAATAGAAGAGTAGAATGTCCACTTAGAACTCGCTAGGATAGGCTATAACCATGATTTTGATACCATATTATAAAGTGGGTTTTTAAGCCTAAGCAATAACTTCACTTATATATCAGAAGAAAATAAATTCTTGATCACGTTCTTTCGCAGCCAATTTTGTTACTGCCAAGATCTTCATCTTCTACCTTTTGTTCTTGATTTTCCTACAATTTCTTCTCCTTCTATGGCTACTCCCTCTATTATTCTCACGTCATTATGTTTTATATGTTTTGATTTTGTTTTCTAGTGTTTTCAATGAGAAACAATTGGGTGTTTTAATCACTCGTAGCCATTGATTGATTTTTGAGGAATTTGGAGGATATTATGGAGATTCGGGTTGTGAAATTTTTATCCAATTTGAGGTTGTGAAATTCAATGACTTTTGCAGTTGTTCCTTCTTCTACTAATTCTCAGACGCAGTCACATTCCTCATGAGACTTTTTCAAGAGTAAATTAATGGTCTATTAGCCCTTCTTCCCCAATTCTGGTAAAATAATTTCTCATATTACTAAGGGTACCCTAAGCAATAACTTCATTCAACAGTAGTCATTGCATTGCATAGGGTTTACACTATCAATCGAACGCTTTCTTCTCCCCAAAAGTGGAAGACTAGCTGGATCTCCCAAAAAATAATAAACAAAAAAAAAGGAAAAGAGATTACCTTTATCTTAATTTTTCAATGTTTATTTCCAAAACCAGTTGATATAATATGTTTACACTACTTTTTTAACAACCTGTTAGTCTTCCACTAATGGTCCATTTATCAACATTTTGTTGCATTTAAAATCAGCAAAATGATATATAAGAGTTTTTTTTTTCCATATTGTCGTTTAAATATTTCAGTTGGTCTGTGAAAGATGATTATATTAACTGATATTGAAATTATATACCATGCGCCATAATTATGACTAACGGGCCTAAGTCTGTGATGACTTTTATTTTTAAAGAAACCTAAGTATAATTAAGACCATCTAGTACCACAAAGATAAAATCTTGTTTTAGATAAAAGTAACTTTCTTTATAAAATAAAGAATTTTTTTTTTTAACTTTTTGACAATAATAATAATAAAAATAAATGAATTTTAAGTCTTAGGTTCTCATAACAACGGACTAATTATTCTAAGGTTCTCATTGCATAAGTCTTATGGTTCACACTATCAGTAATTATTAAAGTTCAATTTCGGTGTAAGAATAAGGTCATTGCAATAGTAGTTTTGGTCGTGTTGTGCATGCACATACTATGTGTGTACAAATTTGCCTGTAACATAATAAAATTTGAGATGCAATTTGCATTAAGAAATACCATTCTTTATAGTGGTAAATTATGCAAACACGTTTTGGAATTTTTATATGACCCATTCCCTCCTTTTTCAATAAGAAAGTAGCATGTGTTTAGTCTTTTTTAAAACCATTTTTTTTATTGAAACACACCTATCTGGATCCTATAAATATATGCATACTTGGATAATTCTTCTACCCTATCTGCTAATCTCACTTTCGATTATCTAAGATGCAAATTATGCTGGATCAGAGTTTCCTTGTCTATGTTCTGTTGGCTGTCATCTTTGTTATTTTCATGTGGCTAACAAGGTATGGATAATCCATTTTCATACTTTGCTTCATATAAAAAAAGAAGTTAAAACAGTCAAATTTTTTCTACTTTATTGATTCTAACTCTTTAAGTTAATTGAGAGGTGATAGATAATTAGAATTTAGATGATGGGAGAGGAATGGTATTTATGTATATAGTTCTAATTATATCAATTCATGTATATTCCATATTATATATACAAAACATTTAATTTATTCATGGAATAATAAGTCTCTACATAATAAATAGTTTCAATTTATCCCTTGACATGTTGATCTTACTATTATCCATCTGAGTTATAGTCAGTATATATTGTTGACTAAATTACTTAATAAATATGGGGGAGTAAATTATTTACAAGATTTTATGTTTAATCATGTTGACACAAAGAAAATGGTTTTATATGTGCTGGTGATGTGGCTACCGTCCTTCGATGTCATACATGTATCTAATCATTGAAATTTCCAATAATTGAAATATCCTAGATTTTCACCTTCCCATCATTTTCTTTTAATTATAATTACCTCACTAATAAATGGTCTCAAGTTAACATTAATTTTGTATGCAGATCGAGAGTACACAATTCATTCTATAAGGGTGATGGTTCGGCACAAAAAGCTAAAGGTTTAAAAGTTCACTCCGGAGGAATTTCCAATTCGTTCAAAAGTGAAGGAAAGGGCATACAAAATCTTGAAAACGCTGAAATTATCTGGTATTACTTTCACAAAGATCTTGCAATCTAAATTTATTTAGACTTTTACAATATGCACATGTGTTTGATAGGGTATTATTCACTTGTTTTTGCACCAAAATCTCACATACATTTCCAAAGTCACCCGGAACATTAATCAACATTGTCAGTGATTAACACTTACAACTTTTAGAATGCTTAAATTGAAGTTGGGGCTTCAAACTATTTATTAAGCCTAAGTGGTTGACATGTGCTTTTGGTAGTACCGAACATGTATGAGATCTGGCTGACAGTGGAAGTGAAATATATGTATTGTAAGATTGGTCGGATGTTTTTTAAACATTGTGCATGGACAGGCAAAGATTTAATTTCTTCATAATAAAATTCATATATTTTTAAAATTTTGACTGTGACAAAAATATGATTTGATGTTTAAGTTTATTTGAAAACTTTCAAACTTGTTTTTTATATGAAAACGGTAAATACTATCGTATAAAATATGTTTAAAACTTTAAATAAATTTCAAAAATATTTAGTTAAAAAAATTAAATTTATTTATTTATAAGAAAAAAAGACTGGATCAAAGTTTTGAAAACAAAACTAAAAAAGAATAGTTTCAATTTTTATTAAAAATTAATGAATTAAAACTATATTTAACCTTAAAATATTTTATATTTTAATTTTTCTTGTTTGAATATTTTAGTTTTTCTTGTTTGAATATAGAATAATTAAATATCTTTTTTATGATAAAATTTTATTTTAAAATTCAAATTTACAAAAATAAGTATTATCCAAATTTAAATAATTAAATAATATTTAACAAAAAAATTTATATCTATGCGTGTACGATGTGTATAAAGAGATATATAAAGAAAGTGACTAGGTATAAAATTTTAATTTCTTTCATTTACATAAATTTCAAATTTTATTATTTAGTTTATTGGAATATATTAAGATTCTTAAATTTTAATTTCTTTATCTAAACAATTCATTTTAACTAAAAAAATTAAAATTCATCGAATGAATTGCTTTCTTAAAATATTCATTCAAACACAAATTAAGATTTGCAATGAATGCATATAATGCTTACAACATCTCTAAATAGTCTACATATTGTTTACACTAGTTGGATTAAATACTACATTTTTTAGAATAATATTCCAGCTCCATTCTACTCTCATCTCATTGTTACTGTTCAAATTATAACAACTTCTTCCAATTGGTTGAATGTAGTCGCAGCGAAACAACCAACCTTTTGGCTAGTTTACTCCAATTTATAATAAACTTAGCTCGAGGTGGAAAGTATGAAGCTGATGGTAAAGATAAAAACAAATGAGTTGAGAACTTCGTTCAAGACAACTCAGTAAGCTCAGAAGCACAAGGATGTTGTACTAATTTCTTTCTCTTTTTTGTATTTGTTTCTATGTTGCCACATCAAACCTTTTCATATTTTCAGTTAATCTTATATTTTTGTTCGATAATAAAATATGCATGATTATGGTTAATTTTATCTGGATATTTAATAAATATGTCGTTTTTTTGTGTTTCGTAATCTTGAAATACAAGATTTCTCATAATATGAAAAATACATTAAAAAAATATATGTTTCTAACAAAAAGCGAAAATGACGCACTAAACTAAACCACGCAATATAATAAGTTAATCATGATATTTCTTTTATAAAAAAAATCATTATAGTCGTATAATTTAAGTCTAATGATGAAACACTTTCAGCTACACCTCAAGCTTTTTTAACTAGGAAGTTTGTTCAAAATGTTGAACAAATGTATGTTTTACTATGTGATTTGAATAATATATATATATATATATATATATATATATATATATATATATATATATATATAATTGATGAGTTATATATATATTATTATAATATTCTTTAATTTATTCAAAACACAAATATCGCTAACAATCTCCCAATTAATTTCTAATATCATATCCAGTTTACTTTATCCTAAAAGTCATGTACGAATATTAATCCAGATACTTACTGTACCATAGGATACCTAAATTCACCAACTGTCGACGAGCACCACGGACGACAGAGTGTCGACCCCTCTCACGATCAAAGGAGTATCGAACACTCCTGGCCAATCGTTGTGAGGTCGACATTCATTTTGTTGATGTCGACGTACTGGCAGACCACAAACCAGCGACGATGTCGCGTCAGTCAGCGACAATGTCGCGACATCTATCGCCCTCACGACATTTAATATGTTTGTGTCGACACAAACAGTGGTCAACATGTAGTGAACGACACCATAATAAACGGTTCAGCAATAAAGAATAAGCAGTTACAAATATTAGCTAATGCAACGCCACGAATCACGCAGGTAGTTGACTCAGTATCAGACACGACCTAGCAGTTACAACTTCCAAATAGTCCACTTCGGTAACTGTCCAGATTTTCAGGTAAACGGTTTATTTTCCTGTTTTAAATATGCAAAGCACACCAGAAAAAAGGTACGTTTTTCCCCTTAGAGAAATTAAGAGAGAGAAATTACTCTTCTGCTTGATCACTTTGAACCAAAAGATTCAGGTGACCCTTTTCTGACTTGAGCGTCGGAGTGCCTTTGCAGGTACCCAGCCCACCTTTTCCCAAGGAACAGAACGTAAAGAGAGGAAGGAAGCATCGTGACAGACAACATAAGAAGAAGCAGTTCAGTTTTGTTAGGTTTGTATCTCGGCCTCCACATCCCTACTGAAACACTTACAATTTAATTATTATACTCTTCACACATTTAAAGAACATATGTATTTATTACATAGGTTTAATTGCTTCCTTTGTCCCCAGTTTGGTTGAATTGTGTCAAATTCATCCTCATTTTTAAAAAAGTTTCATTGTCATCCTCACGTGGTGTAAAAGTTTCATTGTCGTCCTCACGTGGTGTAAAAGTGTCAATTGAATCCAAACATAGAAAAAATTTGTGTCAAAGTAGTCATTTTTCCTATATATCTGTGTCTTCCTTTCATACAATCAAGTACAGATATTCATTTTACCTTATCCAATTTAAGGCTTTTCATAGCTCCAGAGAAGTGACATATGAAAGGAAGACACAGAGATATAGGAAAAATGACTACTTTGACACAAATTTTTTCTATGTTTGGATTCAATTGACACTTTTATACCACGTGAGGACGACAATGAAACTTTTTTAAAAATGAGGATGAATTTGACACAATTCAACCAAACTGGGGACAAAGGAAGCAATTAAACCTATTACATACTAATACTAACATTAAGTTGGATTAGCCAAAACTAGTATACGTGTCTATAAATAAAATACAAATAACAATCTGTGTTAACTTTTCATTTTGGTTTCTATGTAGGTTTTTATATGTTTTGGTTATTTTGTATTTTTTTAACTCAATTGAGTTTTGTTTATTCTTTTAGTTTTTTAAAAACTAAATTGTATCTTATTTTTGTAAAGTAAATTCAACATAGTTTTTTTTTTAAATTGGTCTTAACACAATTTGAAAATATTACTAATAAAATTTAGGTTTATTACATTTAAAATCTTATTTATCTTATAATATAAATGTGTCATATGTTAAAATGAAAGGAATCCTAAAATAGAAAATGATCTAAATTTTATCATCTAACAAATCTAAATTTTTAACATAACTTTTTAAAATGGTGTCAACGTCAATTTAAAAATAATTAATTTTTTTTTACAAAAATAAAAAATCAATTGGATAAAAAATAATTGTATAAACAAAAAACGAATTAAATATTTAATATAGAATGTAAATTATTAATTAAACCTCTCAAATAAAAACTCCTAGTTCATTTAGTTGTGGGATTGGAGAACCACAGCTACTTGTGAGAGGATTTCTAGAATTGTCACAACTTGGTGAAATTTTGCAAAACCACTATTGGGGTTTTAAAAACCAACACAACTTACTAAGGTTTGCAAAACCATCACTATTTACTGAGTTTTTATAAACCGTCAGTAAGTACTGGACTTATATCATTATTCATTTTAAACATTATAGATTTATAGTGATTAGAATTTTGCTTAAACTTCATTTAAATTTTTCCTTCGTTAAAATATGTTGTTGTGAAGTGTAAGTATAAAATTAATTTATCAATTTTGTGCCATGAAAAGAATTAATTATGTAAAAGTTATTGTCTGCGCATTGAACGCAAAAAGTCTCTAACTTTTAGCAAAATATAAGGATTAGAAAATTTAATTTTTTTTTATGCTCGTTTACATCATTAACTTCATAGTTGAGTTAGTTTAGTGTTTTTTACTCTAAATCGCCTTATCAGTCTCATTTAATAACTTAGACTAAAATAGCATAATAAAATAATATTTAATTTTATTTTCAATTTGATCAAAATTAATATACACTAAACATTATCGTGTAAATGTAACTATAACAGTGTTCACAGCCCCATTATAATTGTTATAATAATAATGATAATAATAATAATAATTTTTATTGGAGTATAATAAAAATGTGTATAAATATAAAACTAAAAGTTAGATCAATTACATATTTAGTAAAACATCAGAACTAAAATCGCAAAAAAAAAAAATTAATTACGCATTAAATCAACCAAATTACAGTTCAGTTGATTTTTTTATAAACATTTATATGCGAATTTTCTTATAAATAAATTTAATTTATAAGCAAATAAAAAAAATCTCATATAAATTAGGTGATGAAAATTTATTTTTTAATTAATTAAAAATAACCCTCATTTTATTATTTCATAAATATTTTCCCTATTTATCATAATTTAATTAATTATTTAGTCCTTATATTCGTACCAAAAACATTGTGTTCCTATACTTAAAAATAATATATTTCATTCCTCTTATATATATATATATATATATATATATTTGAACCATAAAAATAAAAAGTGAAAGCATTACACATACAAAATTCTCAGCTCCGCTTCAGTCACTACTGCATTCACCCGATTGAAAGTGAAAATAAAGAAAATGTCACAATTTCAATATTATAATAGGTATCGCAGGAGATTGAAAATCATCCAGCAAAAATATTCACAAATAAAAATAAAAAAATCCCAACGTAAGTTTAACGGAGTTTGATATCTCAGGCATCATAAATACTTAATAAAAATATTATTATTTAACATAATTTCTTTTTCAAAAATGACAAAATTATAAATCCTTTAATCGTAGAACTATTCAATCCTCTATATACTTGCAATAGGAAAATATAGTATCTTCTAACATAAGTATACCCCATAAATAAAAACACAACATAAACGTAAAGGTTTACATTCACGAATACTTAACCGTATGCAAATTTTTTTACAAAAACTACAAATCCTCACATAATATTTTAGGCAAAATCTGCAAACTTTCTCATCATATGAATCAAGATTCATGTATTCTTAGATGTGGTGCAGCCCTCTGGAGACTAATTTGACCAATTGTCTTCAATGTATTCAGATTCTGAATCTGGCATATTACATGTGAGAAAGAACTCCACAATATAAAAATTCCACGAGTTTTGGCAATAAATTATGGTATAAGCAAGACATTACATAAGATAATCTGATTTTAAAATTTTATGGTTTATGCATAATTGGCAATAACATATGTATTATGTAGTAGTTTAACATGAATATATATAATTTCATGACATCTAATGTAAATACTTTTTATATTCGTAACATGATCAATAGGTCTAATATCAATGATCCAAGAATTCGTAGTGATATTACCTTTCTTGCTTTGTTGTGTACATGGCTGACCATTAGCAACACTGATTTGGTTGATTTTCATTTCAGATGTTTGAAGAAATTTTAGAAGTTGTTGAATTTTTCCATCAGTGAGAGAATCATCATTTTGATTGACCACGACCACAATTTGATGATGCTTCAGATCATTTTCTTCTATAGCATGATTGAAACTATTCTCTGCACCAATTTCGTTGATAGCGTTCTTGTTCTTTTGTTTCATCCATAGTGGATATCGATGTTTTGAGTAATATCCATCTGCAATGTGATACAATTTGTGAAAAGATCTACATTGCTCTGCTCTACCTTTACCTTTACCTCTAACTCTACCATGAAGTTTCCATTTATTGGAATGAGAATTTTCAAGAACATGCGACTTCCGTTGTTGTTGATGAGTGCTATCAGTATGAATTTTTACATCAGAACAACTACTTCCACTTAGATGTCTTTCTTGATGAAGAATGAGCGAAAAAACTTTGTTGATGTTAGGCAAAGGTTCCATGAGAAGAATTTGAGTCCTAACATTTGTATATAATTCTCCCAATCCCTTTAGAAAGCACATAACATACTCTCATTATGAGAACAAGTCAAGTTAGTATCCTAATTATTTAATATTTATTAAATACGTAAAATGAAACAATTGTTATTATTTGTTATTGTTTGTTATTATTTGTTATTATTTATTAAATAC